TTACAGGGTGGGGGGTCCTCCAAATATCTACTTGAAACGCTGAGTCCCATGCATCCTGGAAGGCGTGGATCCAACGGAGATGCTGTGAATAAATATCAGTCGAGGCAAATGCTGCCTGTGCGTTCAATGGACTTGAAGGTGGCTTGGCTTGTATATATTGGGGATAATGGAAAATAAAATGGAAATTGTTATATTATAGTATATTATATTATAAGTAAGGATTCGGAGTTGGGTTTAGGGTTTAGGGATTTGTAGTTGAAGGGATTAGCTATGTCCAGGGGGGTCTACTAGGCATATTTTCTTGCCCAAGCCACTCCAGTTTGAGATGTTCCCTCACGCAACGCGAACCCTGGACTCCTTCCATGGACCCCACTCAGTGTCTTTCCAGCAGCAAAATCCTCGTTGAGGTTTTTCGCAACTTTAGTGACCGTCAGCACAGTGGAAGGGCTTCTCAAGGTGGTTTATAAGGTAGCTGTGCCATTACGACACAAATCGTGTCCTTATTCCTCCGTTTCTTGGTGCCTTGGGTTCTTTGTTAAAGCTACGGCGGGCAAGGATGTTCTTCTCAGATCGCGAAGATCCTGAACTCTAAACCCCTAAACCCCGGACCCCTACGTATGGCCCTTAATAAGGGTATTTGGTACCCAAAACGTACAATATTAAAGTTGTTGAGCAAGGATTGATCCTCTTATTCTTTTCTGAATAACGGGGGCCTAAGTAATTCTTACAAAGCCTGAGTTGTAACCAGGTAACAGCCCGTGGTTTCTAATAAGTAGTCATAGTCTTCCATGGCGCCTTAAACCCGAAAACCAATGTCATCCTAGTCTCCATTCCATTTTCCGTTCTCTTTTCAAGTTGATTTTCCATTGTTACCTGCCCTGAACTTTAAACCCTAAACGTGAAACCATAGTTGCCTTCTCTTTGTTGTTTGTTACCATCATGTGGGGTACTAGCTATAAACCCTAAGACCTGAACCCTCAATCCTAAATCCCAAACCCTATAATATGGAAAAATCTTTAGCAGCTCCAGGTAGCCTGGAAGCTTCACGCCAGGGAACTCACACGTGAGCTTGGTGAGCTTTCGGAATCGGATCAGCAGATCCTTGATGGCTATATGGACTATATGGTGATGCATAGGGTTATAGGAGTTAAATGGGGTTCCATAGGGATTATAGGAGTTAAATGGGGTTCCATAGGGATTGATGATGATGATGATGATGTTGGGGTGATCCAGGGTGTGGAGAGGGGTTATTTCGGGGTTATGTAGGGACATCAGGCACGTATGTCTTAGTGTGATCAGGAACACTTCAACGATTCAGGGTAAATGGATCCTAGATAGAGAATGGGCTTGCATTGTGGTGGAGACGTATATATCCCTATATAATCCCTTTAAAGGGATTATTGGGGGGCCCGTATGTCCCTACAACATCACTTCCAAGGGACTGGGTTTGAATTCCGTAGCATCATCCCAGGATGCAACCCCTCCTCCGGCTGGTGTATCGCAGTCGTGCAGATTATGTTTGGGAGCTTTTGGACGATCCCAACTCCAGCATTTGGGCATGGTGGATTTGTCTTTTCCTGAAGCTGCTGGTCATTGTCGGGAGAATTTCGACTTCTGAAAGGCGTTGAGAAGCCCCATACGCCTGAACCGAAACCCAAAACCCTTCATGCCCACAAAAGACCTTAAACCCTAAATAGTAGTTTGCATTTTCCTTTCCATTATCCCAAGATGACTCTAACATACTAAATCCAGGCTGCTAGTTACGGTTTCGGTGCTGATCTCCAATTTGGAAGCCGTGAAGCCGCCGCTGATGGAAACCACCCTGGTGAGGGTTCAGAACATTGCGCTATTTAGGGTTTAGGGTTCAGGGTTTAGGGTTTAGGTTTTAGGGTTTAGGTGCTAGGGTTTGCGGTTTTTTTAGGGTTGTGATCTAGGGTTGAGGGTGTGGGGATCATAGGTCCATTGTGAAAAGTTCGGGTGTTAGGGTCTCGGGTTGTCGTGTATCTACATAGGGGTGGACCTCGGCATATCTTCATTTATTCCTTTCATTTAGAGGGTATATAGGGGATAATGGAAAAGAAAATGGAAACTACTGTCTAGGGTTTAGGGTTTAGGGCTTAGGGATGAAAGTATCGGTCTTTGGGGGTTGTCATGGGGTTGATAAGGGGCTCCTTCAAGGAGCCTCCCAAAACCTAAAATCCCCATTCATTGTACTCGTAGGACTACTCGGACCTAGATACAGACTGATTGGGGGCCTAACCCCTGACTCCTTAGTACGGACCCTAGGATTGTCTGAGGGTATTTGAGAAGCTCCCATGCCCGTTTTGATAGGAGTGGGAATCACATTTTCTGGTAGTTGCTGAGGCTTTAGGGTCTAAACTCCTAGTATCCCCCTTAGAACCCCCAGTTATAAGACTCCCGTATATAATCCCCTGTATAACCTCCTTAAAGAGGTTTAGGGTCGAAGATCCTTATTCGGCGAACTGGCAAGGTGGCAATTCTGCAGACTAGCTTTGACGCCGTGTTCCTCCTGGAATTCCTGGGTCGCATTTCTTCTGCACCCTCCAAAAAGGCCTACCTCATGGACCCCTGGGAATCATTGGGAAGGTTTCATATGTACTGTAGTCTTACTTCCTTTAAGGGGGTTATATAGGGGATTGCATAGGGGAGAGAGTTCACAGGGTTTAGCGCTCCCCAATGCTCACCCCAACCCTGAAGAACTTTGTACGCCCAGCCCTGATACCCCCAAGCCCCCTAAATTCCGCAAACCACAAAAGCCACTAAACCCCCTGAACCCCCCCAAATTCATCCCGCTAAACCCCTAAACCCTTGAACCCCCTAATCATCTTAATTCCCCCCCAAAGCCTAAACGGTAGTTTTCTTAGATAGGGGGACCCCAATATAGACCCCAATACACTATTGTCCTTATCATGGGGACCCCCAAACAGCTACCCGCAATTGTGGGAAACCCTTAAATCCCATAATATCCTTACATAACGCTATATACCACAATATAACCCCTATGAACCTTTTTTATGGTACCCCTAATTTTGGGAAACCCCAAATCTAGGATTCGCTGAACTGGGCTGATCTGCTCTCTGCCCTCGGCTTGCCGCTACGGGCCTGCCTGGGTTTCGGCATCCCTGGCCTCATAGGGATAAGGGGTATATAGGGAGATATAGGGAACAATGGAAGAGAACATGGAAACGGCTATAGTAGTATATAGAGGATTATGTAGGAAGAATATAGGGGATTTAATGGCGATGTGGCTCATGGGGTATTTGGGGGAATAAAAAAGAACATGGAAGTTATTTTGCTACTGGTGATGTTGTGGAGATTAGTATACGGGCACAAACGGGCTATGTAGGGCCATATAGGGACCTTGTCCCAACAGTGGAGAACTAATTGGAAAAGACAATGGACAATCAGATGAGAATTGGGTGTATACAGGGGTGTATAGCGACAAGAACTTGAAGGCTCAGGGGACTTAGTAAGCAGGTTATGAAACGAGTTAGAGGTCCCCTAATTGGATTTAGTCTGCTTACCATCCCACCTTGAACCCCAAACCCTAAAACTGTAATGGCATGCTGCAGGTGGTCATGCTCTGGCAGGGTTGTAAATAGTCTTCTGGATTCGACGGGGTTGTGCCCGTGAGGGCTTTTCATGCTTCGGTCGAAAAGATGTGCAGCAAAAATCAAGAGACGCAAGTTAAACCCTAAATCCTTAACCCTGAGCCCTACATCGTAAACCCTAAAGCCCAAACCCTACACCGCAATGTATAATCTGCTTACGAAGTCCCCTGGGCATCTAAGGCATCCCTGGCTTGGTCCCACCTGGCTCTGGGGCGGAGACTGTGGGAGTGGTGTTGCTTTGCGTTTATTCCCATCTTTAGGGGTTTATGGTTTAGGGTTTATGGTTCGGGGGCGAATTTTCAAGCTTAAGACGTGAAATTTTGGAATTAAGGAAATTGGATCGGGGAACCCAAAGTCATGGTAAGTTTATATGGACTTGAGGGTTTAGGGTTAAGGACTTAGGGTTGAGGGTTTAAGGTCCAGGGTTTAGGGTATGAGGCTTAGTTTTTAGGGTAGGAAGGAAAGGAACATGGGGAGTAAAACTGCGGACGATGAAAACCTAACCCTAAACCCTAAACCCTAAACCCTAAATCCTACTAGAGGGATCCATGCCTCCATACCCACTCCGAACGCCAAGGCCCGAGCCCTAAACCCACGGCAGTTTCCGTTTTCCTTTTCCATTCCTTAGGTGGACCCCCCACCCAGTAATAGTGGCTATTATGGATAATAAGGATTATATTAGGGTCCTCTCTTTTTTTTCCTATTATACCACTATTACAGGGTGGGGGTCCTCCTAATCCATCCCTCCATTCCAACAACTAGAGATTTTTAAGATTTAGGGTTTAGTTTCTAGGGTTTCTGTTTCATTAAGCCGTAAACCCTAACCACGAGTAAGATTGTTCTGCTTCGGTCATCCAAATCCCAGTTTGCGCAAGATATTTCAATGTGCATTCTCCATTTAGACCCTAGACCCTGCAGTTTCCGCCTTTCCTCCATCCTTGCAAGTTGCCGAAACCTTAGTAATATAGTAGTCTCCACTTCCTTTCGCATTCTCGCCTTTCTGGCTTACTTATCTACCTCCGTCTGCAGTACTGCCCCAATCCAGCCCGGGTTCCCCCTTAGTTAAGCTTGTTCTGGCTTAAGGAAATTTAATTCAGGGTAACCTGGTGGCATGAGGGTTGGGTGGGAGAATCGATAAAAGCCTTCAGTAAGAACCCCAAATACAAAACCTCGAGTAAGAAGCCATCGGCCCTAAAAATCAAAAAGGAGCCGCCAAAAACTCAGGAATCCCATATAATGGAAACCTAACTTGAGGGCTCTAAACACAACCCTGAACCCTAAATAGTAGTTTCCATTTATTTTCCACTATCCCAATAT